CTTCAAGAACACACCAAATGATCATAAAGATTCTATCTTTAAGAAAAGACACCTTAGAAGACACTAAAAACACAAAAGAAACATAGATCTTACCCTCCTAGATGCTCAAAGGTAAGAAAGGTGGAATCTTGGAGATGAACTTTGAAGATCTTGGAAATTCTAAACTTAGCTTGGAGAGAAAGCTAGCTAGGTTTTTAGAGAGAAGGAAGAGCTTTTTGCTTTGAAAGTGTTAGGATAGAAATGAGAGATGTCTCCTAGGTTAACTTGGAATACAATCATGAAAGAAAATGTCCAATTTACCCTTACTAAAATGAAGAGGTGTAAGGGAACAAGGGAACTACTCACAAAGCTTTAGGTACAACACTTGACTTTGGGTTGACTAGTCAATTACTAGTCCCCGACTATTGAATTTTCAGAAATTTAAGGAATTAAATTATCAATTGGATTAGGATTAATTACTCAATTAATCTCTTAATTGAATTTGGATTACGGGGTGTCACAGGTCAAAACATCAATACCGAGAAGAAAGAATCACGGGGAACAAATCGCCGCACAACGCCAACAATGTACCCCGCGGGGTACACCCCACAAAAGGCCTTGTTCCCCACGGGTGGGGCAGCGGGTAGGCCACTGCCCGCCGTTCCGCCCGCGGGGTACAACCTGTACTCCACAAATTCCTTCGGGAATTTTCATCACCAAGGTCAAGTCCAAGTCCAAAACACCCAAAATCTCACACACAACAAAGATATGACTTGAACCCAAGAAATAGCCAAGAAATGGCATTCAAGAAACCTAAAAACAAGCTCTAAACATGTATCACCACAAGATCATGCATCAAATCTCACAAATCATCACAAGAACAACAAGTAGAAGCCAAGAATCATTATTTAAGTAAGAAAATAGGTTTTGTATAGCATGTGTTACCTTTGTAGACCAACAACCACTCTAATCACCCTCTTAAGCTTCTTCCTAGAGCTCTTCTTCCATACCAACTTCTTACACAAGCCAAAACACAAGAAAGGTTCTAACTTTAGATAAAGACACCCAAAAGATGACTAAAAACACTAAAAAGCTAAGAACCTTACCCTTTCCTATGCTCAAGAAGAAGAAAGAAGGAATCTTGGTGAAAGATCTTGCAAGGCTTGGAGGTCCACCTTCTTGCTTGAAGAATAAGCTAGGTTATTTTAGAGAGAAGCTAGAGTGTTTGAGTGTTAGGTTGAAAGGATGAATGAAATGAAATGCCTTGCTAGGGTAGCTTGAACCACAATTCATAGGTGAAAAACCATTTTTACCCTTACTAAGGTTGGAAAGACAAGGGGACAAGGGCACAACTCAAGAAGCACAAGGTACACCCATTTGACTTAAATGACTAGTCAAAATCTAGTCACTCGACTATCAAATTTTAGGATTTTTAGAAATGGATTACCAAAGAGACTTGGATTAATTCTTCAATTAATCCTCGATTAGTATTTAGATTTACGGGGTGTCACATAATTTGAGTAGTGGATTGCTCCAATCATAAAAGTTTTAACTGATAGGTAAAAGTTCGATCAATAAGAAAATTGAGAGCATGCAATCTAATCGTTCCAATGTCACTATCGCATGCTCTAACTACTCTCCTAAAAGCACTCACTACAAGAAAAATGCACATAGACAACGGTTAATAACCGCTGTCGTAGGGATATAATTTCTGTTGTTGAAGCCGGTGTTGTTGTAAGTCTCGCGCATAGACAACGGTTTTTTAACCGTTGTCTTTTCTAGAAACAACAACGGTTTTTTAACCGTTGTCTATTAAGTGTTGTTGAAGTCGGTGTTGTTGTAAGTCACGCACATAGACAACGGTTAATAACTGTTGTCTTTTCTAGAAACAACAACGGTTTTTTAACCGTTGTCTATTAAGTGTTGTTGAAGCTGGTGTTGTTGTAAGTCACGCACATAGACAACGGTTAATAACCGTTGTCTTTTCTAGAAACGACAACGGTTTTTTAACTGTTGTCTATTAAGTGTTGTTGAAACCGGTGTTGTTAAAAGTCACGCACATAGACAACGGTTAATAACCGTTGTCTTTTCTAGAAACGACAACGGTTTTTTAACCGTTGTCTATTAAGTGTTGTTGAAACCGGCGTTGTTAAAAGTCACGCACATAGACAACGGTTTTTAACCGTTGTCTTTTCTATAAACGACAACGGTATTTTAACCGTTGTCTATTAAGTGTTGTTGAAACCAGTGTTGTTAAAAGTCACGAATATAGACAACGGTTTTTAACCGTTGTCTTTTCTAGAAAAGACAACAGTTTCTGACCCGTTGTCTATTCAATGTTGTTGAAACCGGTGTTGTTAAAAGTGATGCACATAGACAACGGTTTTTAACTGTTGTCTTTTCTTTAAAAGACAACAGTTATAAACTGTTGTCTATTGTGTGTTGTTGAAATCGCTGTTGTTAAAAGTCACGCCTATAAACTGTTGTCTTTTGTAGAAAAAACAACAGTTTCAAACTGTTGTCTATTGTAAAATAGACAACGGTTGTCTCAACCCATTTTTAACCTGCTTAAATTTTAATCATATAAAAAAAAATCAATTTATCCATTCACCATGGCCAAGTGTAGTTACATAATTTTGAAGAAGCTAAGCAAGGTTCAAAATAACAAGTCAAAATACTTTCATTACCAATTCTAATCGAATCATCATCCAAGTCATAATACTACAAAAAACAATTCTACGAACCAAGTCTAAATGATTACAACGTCAAATCATACCTACTCTATATAACATGATAGAATATCGGCTCATTCAGAACGCACCAGATCAATAACCGCTTTGTCATAATCAACTTGTTGAAACTACATGTAAAAAGTGAGTAAATAAATTAGTACGTAGTCAATATAACATTATAAGAGATAGCTAGATAGATAGATAGTGAGTATTGGCGGCAGTGTTAGTGAAAGAAAAGCAAAGGGAACTAGGCAAAAAGAAGACACTACCAATTGCATTTGGTAGGTTTGGTCCATAACCAACCCAAAATAAAAATAACAGTGACAATCAAAAGCAACAGCAATATTTTAAATAACCAAACCAAAATGCAAGAATTCCAAATCTGAATAAACTAAAGCAACCATGATATGAAATAGACACCATACATATCATCATCCATCTAAAAATACACACAATAACTATCTATCAACTTTGTTTGCTAAAAATCTCGTAATGCATCAAATAGCAGTTAAAGATAAGAGCTCTAATATATGTCCTAGGATAATTTTGTGTTTTAAATTTGTTGCTTCAGTTTATGTTTACGTTCTTTATCTCCTCATATTTAACTATTGGATATGTTTACAAGGGTTCATCTGTATTTTCATTTTTTTTCGGCAAGAGGGACAGGGAATGGAGGTGGGGCAGCTGTTTTAATTGTGAATAGAATGTAGAAGATCGATCTGTTTCTTCTGCCATGACAACCAACCTTCTGGTTGTTTTTTTTTTAACCAAACACCCATTTTTGCTTAGATAAACTACCCGATTCAAGCCCTCTTTCTTAGCATTTTCTGTCCAAAAACACTGCAGATGTAATAAAACTAGTTATTATTATAAATAAATAAATAAATAAATAAATAAGAATAGGAATCTTAAAAGTCTGATTTGCTCTAGCTATACTGTGTGTTTAGCTGGGTACATATATGGCTTGGATTTGGACAGGTCTACAAGTGTTCATCACATGCAATGGTATGTTGTTAGGCACTTAGGCTTTCACCATCTAAAGTGAGACAATTAAATAAGATGTGTACCATCAATATGTAGTGTGTTATGCTGATATAAATCTTATTAAGTGTTTTAACTATTGAAATTAGAAATTTTTGATAATCAAAAGTCAATCGTGTTAAGAGATTACATGAAAATAAAGAAACCTGGAAACCTTCGGAGAAGTAATTCTCAATCCACTTCTTGTATGGATGATTACATTTACCATCAAGAAGCCCCCGCAACTCCTTACCAATGTAGGCATAAAGTCTCATGCAAGGTGTCATAGCACCAAGGGTATAAGCTGCCAACTTCGTTTTCTCAAAGGGAGTGGCAAGTTTACCTGGAGCTTTCACCCCTTCAACCTTCCCTAATGCTGTAGCCAACAAGAAATCCATGTACTTAGATGTTGCTGGATTGATAGTACTCTCCTTGTATTGTATTGTTTTTTATACTTATTTATTTTGTTCTCACTTAGAACTATCTGCATCAAGTAATCATGCTGGGAGTAAGCTCCCTGATGTGTTCCGTTGAAGATTGGCTGTGAAGACATCCCACTTAAACTCAAGTTAGAAAGTTAGTATAATGAAAATAATTAAATCTAAGAATTTAAAAAAAATATATTGAAGTTAAACTCAAGCTAAACTCAAGCTTTTAATTACCCTGGAGATTTAAGCGATAGAGAAAATAGCAATCAAATATCATTGAAGCCAAAAATTGATTTGATAAATTATAAAAACAGAAAATAAAGAGCTTTTAATGTATGTACTGATAATAATATACCTCCAAACTTTTTTGTTTCATCAGTTCTGAAATCCTGTAAGCTGGGATGACTTCACAGCCAATCTTCAACTGGAACACATCAGGGAGCTTACTCCCAGCATGATTACTTGATGCAGATAGTTCTAAGTGAGAACAAAATAAATAAGTATAAAAAACAATACAATACAATATAATGAAACTGTAACGTTTATCCGTTACTATTATTATAACATTAGGATAAGTTATGATAATATTCAGTATTTGATATGTGGTGCAACACTAATAACCTAATAGCTAGACTACCATTATGATTAGGAGTCTGGTTAGGGTTTAGGAGACCTAAAGACAATCAACCACAATGATGGCCAGTGGTTATATAAGGTCACTAGTCCTCTCACTGCTCACATTACATACCTCATACACCATCTAGAGAGAGCTGAGTAAAGTGAGAGACAAAATACTCGTTATCTCTGCAGCAGTCCGGATCGCTCAACCGTAACAGAAACTATGGCTGGAGGTTAGTCGATCCTATGATCACATATTCTTTGATGCATGTGATATTTTAGTCTAACAGTTGGTATCAGTCGCCATAAATAATCTCTGCCTAGTTTTTTTTTTGTTTAATTGTATATAATATTTGCATATGTTGTATACATATTTGTATAATTAAATTACATATGGTGAATATTCTTTGGTTCGCAATTAAATTGTCTGGGCTGCTGGAAATTTGGTTTATTCCGCATTAAGAAATTAAAAAAAAAAAATGAAATTGGATAATTAATTTTTGGCCTTTTCGCTGCTTCGCCGGAAATTGCTTCTTGTTTTTCGAATTCCGGTGCTGACTTGCGATTATTCAGATGAAGAAGATGGATGATGAATGTTTGGCTTAAGTTAATTGGGCCAGGTCTGGCCATTTGGGCCAGACCTGGGCTCATTTAAAAAAAAAAAAAATTTAATAATAATAATATTATTATTATTTTTTACTGGGCCTGTTTTGGTTCTGGATCAAATCTGAATTGATATTTGGACTACATCAATTCATTCAGTTTAATATCATCATCATATTTGGACTTCTTCTAATTAAATTATCCAATTGAAATTTTTTATTAAGTCTATTATTAAATTATTGTTCAACTTTGAATAATTATTCAGTTTTAATTCTTCAGTTGAATTTTAATTTAATAATGTTTTTCAGTTTAAATTGTATTAAGTGTTACAATTTAATTGTGGAGTATTTGTGAGTAATGTGCATAATCTGAGCATGCTATTTATCTCTTTATTGCAATAATTATTTGACTGTTATAATTATGCATGTAGAAAAGCATGTTCATTAAGAAAAATTTAGAGCCTTTGAGGTCTGAATTATATGCTATGCATGGTTTAGTGCCTTTTAGGTGAATTAGTGACTTTCAGGTTAGATTATGCATATTATTACTCAATCTTCAGTTATTACTCCATTCGTGTTTTATAAAGTTCCTAAAGCACATAAAGTACATAAACAATTCGTAGTTTTACCCTATTTAAAGCCTTATCCATAGGTGAAACTACTCTTTAGATCTCTCAAATGATTTTACTTCAAAAATGAGAACACATGAATTAGGGAAGTTTCTTGGGAGGAATACTAGTTCTATGGCCCTGGCTTGAAAGCCTTGTTGCTACTAGTCCCCTTGCGATGCTACTCTGTCTAAGGAGTTGGTTTTTAACCGAGCTTCGTCTCGACCAACTTTTCTGGGAGTATACCTAAGGATTGTCTATCATATTTTGGTTTAATCTGTTTGTTAATTAGGTTTTCTTGCTAATGTGATTATGTTCTTTGGTTAATTAAAGAGTAGCCACAGCATCTTTAATTTTTCCAAAATTACATATTAAGTTTTACTCACATAAAGTTAATGCAAGAATATTGTAATTCACTCTGCGTGATATGGCAAAATTTAGCCCACAGGCAATTTTGTTATATTTGTAGGGTTAATTAGGATGAAATACCATACTATGATCATAATTTGCCCACAGGGATTATGTATCGGCATATAGTTTTGGTAGTTTTGTCATTAAGGGTGGAAAAATTAAAATCGCACCCATTCCGTTTCCACCATTCAGTTTTGGTAAATTCATTATGCGTAAAAATTTAGCCCACAGGCAATTTTTATGGCATCCGAATTTATCTTTCGCATAATTTTACATTGGTAATATTATGTACTTCAGTATCTCTCTCTAATTTTTTGTGCCTCGAAAATTCTAACCAAGCATTAATTATTATTCTTTACAGCAACTCATCCTGGCACCCAAACACAAATTAATGTTCCAATCCTTAATGAAGATAACCACAAAGAATGGAAAGATGCTATTCTCTTGCAATTAAGATTATTAGAGTTGGATTACGCTGTTCTCAATGAGGAACCCCCTGAGGTTACTGAAGAAAGCACTGGCGAAGCCAAGCAGCTTTGCGCACAAGGGGAGAAATCCAATGGATTTTGTGTGCTCTTCATTAAGTCAAGAATTTCTAGAAAAATTTGTTTTTGCTTTGAGGACATTAAGAAAGCGAAACCCTTGCTCAAAGCTATCGATGATAACTTCATTGAATCAAAGAAAGTTTTGGCAATGACTCTAATCATGAAGTTGAGAAATTTGCGTCTTTCCACTGTCAAGGGAACGCGTGAACACATTATGCAACTCAAGGATATTGCGGCTCAATTAAAGGAGTTGGAAATCATTCTACCAAATGATTATTTGGTGTTTTTTGCACTTGATACCCTTCCTCAAGAGTACAATCCTTTTAAGATTTTCTACATCACACATAAAGAGGACTGGTCTATCAATGAGTTGATAACCATGTGTGCAATGGAGGAACAAAGGCTTAGCTTGTGGCTAAGCTTGGGTATGTTCCATCTTCTTTTGTTTGTTTCGAATCTAATATGTCAGAAGTTAATACTAATTCTTGGTGGGTTGACTCTGGTTCAACAATCCACATTGCAAACTCTTTGCAGGATTTGACAAAATTGAGACAGCCAACGGGAACTGAGTGTAGCATCTTCTCTGGAAACAAGATTGCATCACCAGTCGAAGCTGTCGAAGTTTGCAATTTAGTTTTGGACAATGGCTTTGTAATGACGTTAGAAAAGACATTTTATGTTCCTAGTTTTTCTAGGAACTTAGTTTCAGTATCTAGACTTGTACCCTTCGGATATTCTTTTGAATTTAATACCAATAATATCAAGTTATTTCATTATTATACTTGTGTTGGTACTGGTACATTGTCTAATGGTCTTTTCCGTCTTAAATTAAAGATGATTCAGTTTACAATTCTTTACATGTTCAAAACGGCACCAAACGGTGCAGTATTAACGACAATTCCTCAATGTTGTGGCATCGGAGATTATGTCATATCTCCCTTGAGCGTATTAAAAGGTTGGTAAAGGATGGAGTACTTTCTACTCTAGACTATACTGACTTTGAGACTTGCGTTGACTACATTAAGGGTAAGCAGACAAACAAGTCAAAGAAAGGTGCCAATAGAAGTACAACGTTGTTGGAAATTATTCATACTGACATATGTTGTCCTGGTATGACAATACCTGGTCAGAAATATTTCACCACCTTTATTGATGACTTCTCAAGTTTTTCCTATGTGTATTTACTTCATCATAAACATGAAGCATTGGATGCTTTTAAATCATTTAAAGCTGAAGTTGAAAACCAATGTAACAGGAAAATACACATAGTTAGGTCTGGTAGGGGTGGTGAATACTATGGTAGATACAATAAGAATGGGCAAGCACCTGGTCTATTTGCTAAGTTTCTTCAAGAGCATGGGATTGTTGCCCAATACACCATACCTGGTTCTCCGGACCAAAATGGTGTAGCTGAAAGAAGAAACTGGACCCTTCTGGATATGGTGCGGAGTATGCGTAGCAACTCTAAGCTTCCTAAGTCGTTGTGGGATGAAGCACTTAAGACGGCAACGTATATATTAAACCGTGTTCCAACCAAGGCTGTCCCTGAGACACCGTTTGAGTTATTCAAAGGTTGGAAACCGAGTTTGCAACATATGCGTGTTTAGGGATGTCCGTCTGAGGTGAGGATATATAACCCACACGAGAAGAAACTTGACCCAAGGACGATTAGTGCTTTCTTTATTGGATATGCACAATCTTCTAAGGGTTATAGGTTCTATTGTCCATCTCATACTACTAGGATAGTGGAATCAAGGAATGCTGAATTTCTTGAAGGTGACTTGATTAGTGGGAGTGATCGGTTTAAGGACTTAGTTCCTTCTTTCGATCATATTGACTCTCACCCTTCTACGTCATCTGGTGGTACTTATCCGCAGTGCTCCTTTAGTTCTGCCTGTAGATATAGCGCCTACCGTTGAGGTTCCACAAACTGTTGAGGATCAACCTTTGGAAGAACCAGTTCAGGACTTACAGCAACTGTCTGAACTAGATTTCGAACCAATGGTTGAACCAACTCAGGATATACAGCAAGATTCTGAGCCGATGCAGACTGAACCGATTCAAGAACTGCCACCAGTTCCTGAAGAGGTAGTTGCCCCGCAACCTGTACAAGGTGATGAGGGTCCAACCTTAAGACGGTCTACTCGGATAAGGCGATCAACAGTTCCTAGTTATTATGTTTCGTATCTACAAGAATCTGACATAGGGGCAGAAAATGATCCTGAAACATTCTCTCAAGCCACAAATTGTGCACAGTCTGACTTATGGTTAGAAGCCATGAAGGATGAAATAAATTCCATGAAGGACAATGGAGTTTGGGATCTTGTTGAGTTGCCTAATGGGGCCAAGGCCATTGGTTGTAAATGGGTCTTTAAGGCTAAAAGAAACTCATTAGGCAACATTGAGAGATACAAGGCCCGGCTTGTTGCCAAGGGATTTACTCAAAAAGAAGGAATCGATTACAAGGAGACATTTTCTCCTGTATCAAAGGAAGATTCACTTCGGATCATTCTGGCATTAGTTGCACATTTTAATCTTGAGTTGCAACAAATGGATGTGAAAACCGCTTTCCTAAATGGTGATCTAGAAGAGGAGGTTTTTATGAAACAACCTGAAGGTTTCTCTTCTAGGGGTGGTGAGCATTTAGTATATAAGCTTAAGAAATCCATATACGGTTTAAAACAAGCCTCCCGTCAATGGTACATCAAATTCGATGGGGTAATTTCTTCATTTGGTTTTGTTGAAAATCCCTCAGATAACTGTATATACCAAAAGGTGAGTGGGAGTAAAATTTCCTTTCTTGTTTTATATGTGGATGACATCTTACTTGCCACCAATGATAAGGGGATGCTTCGTGAAACAATTTCTTTCTAAGAACTTTGATATGAAGGATATGGGTGATGCCTCTTACATTATCGGCATTAAAATTCGTAGAGATAGGTCCCGGGGTATACTGAGCTTATCTCAAGAAACCTATATAAACAAAGTTTTAGAGAGATTTCATGTGCAAAATTGTTCATCTAATGTTGCTCCCAAAGCTAAGGGTTAGACTTTTGGAGAGCTGTAAAGAGGGTTCTAAGGTATCTAAGATGAACCAAAGGTTACAAGCTTGGGTTTAGGCAGACGGACAATTTAGATCTTGTCGGTTATTCAGACACGGACTTCGCTGGCTGTGTTGATTCTCGAAAATCAACTTCAGGGTGCGTCTTTATTATGGCCAGTGAGGCTATCTCATGGAGAAGTGTTAAACAGTCCTTAATAGCTACTTCTACCATGGAAGCCAAGTTCGTTTCCAGTTTCGAGGCAACTTTATAGGGTGTTTGGCTAAAGAATTTTATCTCTGGGCTTAGAATTATGGATTCCATATCTAAGCCATTGAAAGTTTACTGTGACAACTCAGCTACAGTCTTCCTAGCTAAGACCACAAAAGTGGGAGTCGAATTAAGCACATCGACATCAAGTTCTTAGCAATTAGGAATCGTGTCAAAAATAAAGTTGTATTCTTTGAACACATTCATACTGAGTTGGTGTCAGCAGATCCCTTGACTAAATGCATGCCTTTAGTTAAATTCAAGGATCTGGTTCAGAAAATGGGACTTTTTCCCACTATGGAATTTGTATATACATTCAGTTTAAAATTCTTTGGCATTCAGACATTTTCTCAATTGTGTACACCTTCATTTGTTTCATATTGATGAGAAAATGTACTTCAGGGACTTGGAATAAACATAGGGTTTATTTCGTTGGGTTTTGTTTCCTAATTAAGTGCTCAATGGCAGTTTGCATTTGATCATAATGGATACTACTCGTGCTAATGAGAACATATCATTATGGTTGGTGTTTTTCTGTTATTGAGTGGTAGTGCTTGCACCAAGTGGGAGAATGTAACGTTTATCCGTTACTATTATTATAACATTAGGATAAGTTATGATAATATTCAGTATTTGATATGTGGTGCAACACTAATAACCTAATAGCTAGACTACCATTATGATTAGGAGTCTGGTTAGGGTTTAGGAGACCTAAAGACAATCAACCACAATGATGGCCAGTGGTTATATAAGTTCACTAGTCCTCTCACTGCTCACATTACATACCTCATACACCATCTAGAGAGAGCTGAGTAAAGTGAGAGACAAAATACTCGTTATCTCTGCAGCAGTCCGGATCGCTCAACCGTAACAGAAACTATGGCTGGAGGTTAGTCGATCCTATGATCACATATTCTTTGATGCATGTGATATTTTAGTCTAACAGAAACAACATAAACTTCCACATCATCTAGCAGAAATCAAATTTCAGCAAGTTAGCATAGTATAAGTCACACTAGTGTAATACAATTCATGGAAAAGAAAGTAATCAAGTGACTTATGTATGCAGTTGAGATAGAATGCGGTTGTTCTGAGGGTTATTACATAGAATGTTATATAATAAGTTACACTATTAGCTTTAAAGTAACAACATCATCAACTCTTCAAAATTGTATGGAAACAGGAAACCCACAGATAATGCACAACAATGGCTTCTACTAATCAGCAGCAGTTTATGATTTCTTTTGACAAGTTGCAAGAGCTATTCTATATTTTGTTGTTAAACAGCAAGGGAAGGAATGCAAGTTTGCAACCACAGGTCAGAGACAGTTCTTCCCTTTTCAACTCCAGCAGCAATCCAATATCCAATGAATAACACACACACACACACACACACACACACACACACACACACACACACACACACACACACACACACACACACACACATATATATATATATATATATATATATATATATATATATATATATATATATATATATATATATATATATATATATATATATATATATATATATATATATATGTACAGAGAAAATATGAAGCACCATTTTCAGCTGTCACCCAGCTCCAACCCCTTCCTCATGAACATACCCAGGAAGTAAGAAAAAATCTATTTTTCTGCCCCAAGACAACACTCACTTTTTGTGTCTGAAATCTGAATTTAACTTGGCCAGCTTTACATTATAGATAGAGAAAAGGCTGTAAAGCAAATAACATTTGGTCTGTCCCAATGCAAAAGGCCCCGGCATCAAGCTGGGTAATCCCAAAATAATAAGAACAAGAGTTGTGAGCTGTAAATGAGTCTGAGTTGATGTTTATAAAGTAACAGAAATGTTTTGCCTTACAATTTAACAGATTGCAAGGGAATCACTTACTCATCTTCATGGGCCATACCAACAGCATTGGTGAATTTCTTCTTCTTGCCCTGTGTTCAAGAAACAAAAGAAAAGAACATGAGTAACAATTCTATTAAAAGCATTTCAAATGTAGAGACTTAACTAGAATATAGTTTACCATGGTGGTAAACTATTTATATGGTGGTAAGGGCTATTAACTGTGAACAAACACTTCTACCAAAATTGAAATATTTATATCGTGGTAAGGGCTTAAATTACTGCTATTCTTCAAGCGAGATACCAGGTTATACCATCCAGGATGACTTGGTGATTGCACACAACTCAATTCTAATTTAGTTGTTGCAGCACTGCAGCTACATGAATTTCACTATTATTCAACTCTACTAAGTGCTAAATTCATTGCAAGGTCATGATGTAGGAAATCTTTCTAAATTACTTCAATCCAAGAAAGTTTCAGAATACCTCTTGATGGATTTAATTACCCGGGGTATACCCGAATCACTAAATCCGGATAAGAACGTATAATAAGAATAATAAATAAATAATATAGAACGATATCGTAAAGGTCGCGGTGGACCGTATATTATATTAATTGCCGTAGTATTTGGCTATTACAAAGATTCGGTAGGACAAAAGTGTGTAATAATCGTATAATGTGGAATGAATAGCCCTTTGTTAGGACATGGAGGGGGGTTTTTATACAAGCAAACCCCCCAACCGCCTCCCCTTAAATCGGGGGTGGTTAGATCTCAAGTTTGACCGGGTCCCGGCGGACCGGGTCGGGTCGGGTCCCGAGCTCGGGTAGGACCGAGCTCCACGTAGGTCGGCTCGGGTCGGGGCACCTCCATGGTGCTCCGGGTCCGCGTTGCTCTTGGGCACCTCCGTGGTCCCTCGGGTCCGTGTTGCTCTTGGGCACCTCCGTGGTCCTCCGGGTCCGTGTTGCTCTTGGGCACCTCCGTGGTCCCCCGGGTCCGTGTTGCTCTTAGGCACCTCCGTGGTCCCCCGGGTCCGTGTTGCTCTTGGGCACCTCCGTGGTCCCCCGGGTTCGTGCTGCTCTTGGGCTCCACCAAGGTGCTCCGGGTCCATGTTGCTACCCCGGGTCGGGTCGTGGGTATAATATATCCATCATGAGTCCCCCACTCTCTTCGTTGCGAGTGGAAGTCAACGAATGAGAGTACCCGTACGCCGACCCGAGCCCCTTGGGTGGAAAATTCCGAGCTCCAAAATTTAGCCGACCCCCTCCAAGAATTATATCGCGGACAGAATTCTTGGATGTTATGGCCGCTGCTCCTTTGTTTCAGTAACGGGTGCCACCTTTTGCCTGCTCTCGCCTCTCCCTGAAATACTTGGGATTTTTTTTTTTTTTTTTTTTTTTTTTTTTTGCCGTGTGTTAGCCTCCTCAACAAAGTCCTACGGGACTATGTCCTCGGGCTCTCCCGTCGGGGTTGGTACGCGAGGTCGGACCTCGTGCCCCCTTAGGGTACGTTAGCCTCTCGGGCTAAGTCCTTCCGGACTACGCCACCGGGCTCTTCCGTCGGGGTTTGTACGCGAGGACGGACCTCGTGCCCCCTTAGGGTGCGCCAAACCGCTTGGGCCCAGTCCTGCAGGACCAAACCACCGGGCTCCTCCGTCGGGGTTTGTACGCGAGGTTAGACCTCATGCCCCCTTAGGGTGCGCGTTAGCTGCTCGGGCACAGTCCGACGGGACTGTGCCACCGGGCTCTTCCGTCGGGGTTGGTACGCGAGGTCGTCCCTCGTGCCCCCTTAGGGTGCGTCTTCCGTCGGGGTTAGTACGCGAGGCCGGACCTCGTGCCCCCTTAGGGTCCGCGGGGGGGGGGGGGGGGGGGGGGAAGACATGAGTGAGCACTCGTTCCCCCCTGTTGAACGTTTTTTTTTTAAGGGAGATAAAATGCATGAGAACCAACTTTGTAACAAAAGGGATCCTGCGCACAATGTGTTCTGTAATATGCGATTTTATTCCGACTATTGCCGCTCACTAAGACATTATTAGGGGAGGGGAATGGCCTCCCTCCTAGAATAGCAACGCCAAGACCCTCCTCTCACGTGGCAGGTCTACTGGTAAAATTTCAGCAGGTGCTCTGAATTCCAAACCCTGGCTATCATCTTTCCTTTGGGAGTTTTGAGCTTGTAGTTGCCCGGGCAGACCACGGCTGCTATAATGTACGGGCCCTCCCAATTAGGGGCAAACTTTCCTCCGGCTTGGGGCTGGCTCGCCTCCCTTCTCCTGAGCACATAGTCACCCACTTGGAAATAGCGGGGTCGGACCCGCTTATCGTGATATGCCTTGGTCTGCCTCTGGTAGTTTTCAGCTCGAATCGCGGCTGCTTCGCGCCTGTCATCAATCATGTGGAGGTCAATTCTATGGTTCTCCTCGTTCGTGTCAGGGTCGTAGTCCTCCTCCCGTCGGGAAGGTATGACTACCTCCGCTGGAGCTCGGGCTTCGAAACCGTAGGCTAAGGAAAAAGGCGTCTCCCCAGTAGCCCTCCGGGGGGTGGTGCGGTAGGCCCAAAGAATGGCGTCGAGCTCCTCCACCCACGCTCCCCCGCGGATTCCAGTTTCTTTTTCAGGCCACCCACAATGGTGCGGTTGGCATTTTCCACCTGGCCATTTGCTTGAGGGTAGCATACTGCTACCCGGCTGTGGGTAATGTGCCATTCTGCACAGAACCCCTCGAACTCTTGCCCCTCGAATTGGCGTCCGTTGTCGGTGATGAGTTGCATCGGGACCCCAAAACGACACAAAATATTTTTGTACACAAAGTGCTTGCAACGGGCACTTGTTATGGTTGCCAGCGGTTCCGCCTCTACCCACTTGGTGAAGTAGTCCACTGCTACTATGAGGTACTTCCTTTTTCCCGACCCCATGGGTAGAGCTCCCACTAGGTCCACTCCCCACCTGGAGAAGGGGATGACCGAGCTGATGGGGGTGTAGCTCGTGGCTGGCCGGCCGGGGGTGACTTGGAAGTGTTGGTAGGTCTCGCAACCCCGGGCATAGTCGGCGCACTCCTTGGCCATTTTGGGCCAAAAGTACCCCTGTAAGATGGCCCTCCGGGACATGGCGAAGGCCCCCTGGTGGGCTGAACAGGTCCCTTCGTGGATTTCTTCCATGACTGACCTGGCTTCGTCTGGGTACAAGCAGCGTAGCAAGGCGCCGTTATAGGACCTCTTGTAGAGTATGTCCCCCATGACCACGTACGTGGGGGCTCGTCGTTTCACCAGCTTGGCGTCGACCTCGTCGGGAGGTAGCGTGTCTGTCTTCTTGTACTCCTTGAGGTGGTCCAACCAGCAAGGAGGTCGGATTTGCACGGGTAGGACCGGGTAGGCATCCAGGCTCGACCTCTTGAAATCTTCAATTCGGGCTATCTTGGAGATATGTTCCGGGGCCCCTTGGGCGAGCTTGGATAACATGTCAGCATCTGTGTTCTGGTCTCGGGGTACCTGTAGGACCTCATAATTGATCATCTGCCCCAGTAGCTGGAGCACCACGTCCCGGTACCTCCTCATTCTTTCATCACTTGCTTCAAATTCACCTGTGACCTGTTCCACCACGAGTCTAGAGTCACATCGGATTTTGAGCTTCTCCACCCTCATATTTAGTGCGAGGCGGAGCGCTCCCAGGAGTGCTTCATACTCGGCCTCGTTGTTGGACAATTTGAACGCGAAGCGGAGGGCGTAGTAGGCCCGAAACCCCTCCGGTGTTATGAGGACGACTCCACCTCCGCAGCTTTTGGTGCTGGAGGACCCGTCCGTTGAGAGGGTCCACCACTCCTCGTCTTCGTCCCTGACCCGCTCCGTTGCCTCCCGGGCAGTGCACTCGATTATAAAGTCAGCCAGCGCCTGCCCCTTGATGGCGGGTCGGGGCTTGAACTGGATGTCGAACTGGCTCAGCCGCATGGCCCACCTGACCAGCCTGCTTGCCGACCCCGAGGCCCTCAGTACTGCGTCTAGCGGCTGGTTGGTGAGGACCTGCACGGGGTGGGCCTGGAAGTAGTGGTTCAGCTTCTTTGCCGTCGCATCTACTGCAAAAATGGCCTTTTCCACGGGTGTGTACCTGATCTCTGCTCCCCGTAGAGCTCGGCTCGTGTAGTATACGGGCCGCTGGACACCCTCGTCGTCCCGGACCAGCACGGAGCTGACCGCGGCCTGCGAGATGCCCAAGTATAGATACAGGACCTCCCCCTTAACGGGTTTGGCCAGGGGGGGGGAGCGACATCAGGTACGTCTTGAGGTCTTCGAACGCCTTCTGGCACTCCTCGGACCATTCGAAGCCTTTAGTCTTTTTTAGGACTCCAAAGAACGGTAAGGCCTTCTCGGCCGACCTCGAAAGGAAACGGCCCAGGGCTGCCAATCGCCCGTTGAGGCGCTGGACCTCCCGGAGGGACCTCGGAGGTTCCATGTCCAGGATGGCCTTGACCTTGTCGGGGTTGGGCTCAATGCCCCTCTTCGAGACCATGTACCCCAAAAATTTCCCCCCGTGCACCCCGAAGGTGCACTTTTTGGGGTTCAGCCGTAAATTGAAGCGTTGCATAATTGAAAATACCTCGGTAAGGTCATCTGTGTGGAGGCCGGGCTTCTTAATGAATTGGCCGAGGTAGCCCATTTGGATGAGCTGCTCGATTTGTCTTTTTAGGAGGATGCACTCGTCTGTATCGTGTCCTTTCTGCCGGTGGAACCTGCAGTACTTGTTGGGGTCCCCTCTCGTCGATATCTTCATGCACTCCTCCTTCGGGAATACCACGATTCCCTGGTCCTCCGCATGCGCCAAGATAGTACCCACGGGTTGTGTCAGCGGGGTGAGATAGCGTGTGGGGTTCATCCTGGGCCCCTCAGCGTACTCACACCGGTGCGGTCGGGGCGCCTTGCGCTCTTCCTGGGGTGCCTTGTC